CTCCAACCTGGGCGACAGAGCGAGACTCCATCTCAAAAAAAAAAAAAAAAAAAAAAGAAAATGCCTTTATTCTTGAAAGATAGTTTTGTAGGGTTCACAATCCTTGATTGATTGTTATCTTTTGGCATGCTGGAGATATACTTCCACCGACTTCTAGCTCCTTTATTGCTGTGGGAAAGCCTGTTGTCAGTCTAATTGTGGTAGATCTGTGGTACTGTGGGTGGTCTGGGTTTTCTTTCTCCTGCTGTAAAGAGTTTCTTATTGTCTTTGGTGTTCTGCAGTTTCATTATAATGTACGTAGGTGTGGATTTATTCTAATTTTTCCACCTTGGTTGTATATGTGTACACTATGGTGGTGTATGTTCTGTGGATTCACACCTTTCATCAGTTCTGGAACATTCTCAGCTCTTACCTCTTTGGATATTGTCTCTCTCTCATTGTCTTGATTTTTTCTTTCTGGGACTCTGGATATGTTAGAGTTTACCATTCTAGGCTTCATTGCTCCTGGCCTTGTTTTCATAGTTTTAATCTCCTCATCTCTGTCTGCTGTTAAGCCTAGTCACTTCTTCAATTTATCTTCCAGTTCATTTGTTCTCTCTTAATTGGTGTTTTAAATGTTACTTACCCCATCCACTTAGTTTTTTATTTTTATAATTGTAATTTTTATTTCTAAAAGCTCTATTTGGTTCTTTTTCAAATCTGCCTGTTATTTTTGCTTGATTATTAAGATATCCATTTTTAACAGAAAATAACAAGTGTTGGGGGGGATATGAAGAAATAGTAACTCCTGTAAACTGTTGATGGGAATGTAAAATGGTGCAGTCTCTGTGGAAAGCAATATATCGGTTCCTCAAAAAATTCAAAATAGAATTACCATATGATCCAGCAATTCCACTTCTGGGAATATACCCAAGAGAATTGAAAGCAGGGCCTCAAAGAGATATTTGCACACCCATGTTCATAGCAGCATTATTCACAACAGCCAAAAGATAGAAGTAACCTGAATGTTCATCAGTGGATGAATGGATAAACAAAATATGGTATAAACAATATAATATTATTCAGTCTAAAAAGGGAGGAAATTCTGACACATGCTACAACATGGGTGAAACTTGAAGACACAATGTGAAGTGAAATAAAACAAGTCCAAAAAGACAAATACTGCATGACTTCACTTAAATGAGGTACCCAGAGTAATCCAGTTCACAGAGACTGAAAGCACAATGGCAGTTGCCGGAGATTGGGAGGAGGGGAAATGGAGAGTTGTTTGATGAGTACTGAGTTTCTATTCTGGAGATGGATGGTGGTGATGACTGCACAACAATGTGAATGTACATAACACCACTGAACTATACACTTAAAAATGGTTAAGATGGCAACTTGTGTTATGTGCATTTGACCACAGTTAAACATAATTTTAAAATGTGGAACTAGTATTCATTTTTTATTTAAATATTTTATAAATTATCATATTGGTATAGTGTGGTAGTTTACAGCAAGACTCTGTCTTCCAAGTGCTCATGTTCAACTTACAGTCTATAACCTCAAGCAAGGAGCTTAACCCCATTGCGCCTTAGTTTTTTTAATCCATCAAGTGAGGATAAGAATAATACCTATCTCTCCATCCTGGCTAACACGGTGAAACCCCGTCTCTACTAAAAAATACAAAAAACTAACCGGGCGCGGTGGTGGGCGCCTGTAGTCCCAACTACTCGGGAGTCTGAGGCAGGAGAATGGCGTGAACCCGGGAGGCGGAGCTTGCAGTGAGCTGAGATCCGGCCACTGCACTCCAGCCTGGGCCGCAGAGCGAGACTCTGTCTCAAAAAAAAAAAAAAAAAAAAAAAAAGAATAATACCTATCTCATAGATTTCTGCGTGTATTAAATGAATCAGTACGTAATGAAGCACTTACAGTAGTGTCTGGCACATACAAATACTCTGTAAATATTGCTTATTATTATAAGTCTCTAATATTCTGACATCTGAAGCCTTTGGGGTTCTAAATTAGCTTGTTTTTTTATGCTGCCCACTTAAGATGTTTTTTATTTTTCAACATCTCTGATCTTTGATTGTGAGTTCATATTTGGAGGATCTTTGGGAATCCTGAGGCTCTAAATTTGAGATATTTTCCTCCAGACCATCTGCAATTTGAGACCACCTTTACTGCCATCAGTTATCTCTGCTTCATGTAGGAGCCCTGGTTCAGCTCCCTTGTCTGCAGCGTGTCCAGGTTTAGCTCCGCTGCCAGCCTCCCCCATATAGGTCTCGACCCAAGATTTTAGTTTATTGCTCCCAGATCATCACCTTAGTTTCCGCTCACAGTTCTGAAGTTTTGTTTTATTTTGTTTTGTTTTCTGGGTTTCTATTTTCTTTGTTTTTGGCATTTGAGAAATTCTGTTGTTTCCTAAGAACCTAGTACAATGTGAACAAGTATATTTCATCTAGGATCTGACTTAACTATAGCAAGAGAGTCCTCAGAAAACCCAGGCTTTCACACAGCTGCCAGAAAAGTCCATGGGGCTTAATTCTTTGACCATTTTGAGTGCAGGGACTTATTCATGCTTACATCCTCACAACCCAGCTTGGGAGCTGCCTCATACCCAGCAGCTGATCCTTTTTGTTTTTTAAATGTAAGAAGCCACACTGAGGGCTCTCCGGGTGGAAAAAGTTAGGACACAGGACCAGCATTTCTTTCCAGCCACTTGGACATCCCTGATCGAATGTCACCCTTGACTGCCTAACTCATCTCCTTCCCAAGGCACAGGTTATCCCTGGCTCCTGGCTGATGATCACAGGCAGGGAGGGAGGGAAAGAAGCAAAGGGAGAAGGCCCTGTGTGGGAATGAAACTTGCTCACCCTGGCTTCTCTAATCTGCAGCTCACTCTTGCTGCCACTCAGCAGATCTGGTCTCCCCAACTCTTTTTTCCCCTGCCTCTACTTTGAGACTCAATTGCTTCCCCAGAACTTTTTTTCTCCCCAAGTCAAAGAATGAAGGTTCAATGGTCCCAGCTCAGTTCTTATCAAGCATTCCAGCTAGCCTATGCCAGAGATGTCACACAGCTCTTTAATAATAGTGGCCATAGCTGTAATAACAATAACAACAGTCGGTAACAGTAATCACACCAACAGTAGGGCAGTGCATTTTATATTACAACTGGTTTCTTGCTCCAGTAGGCTTGGGGATGGGTGAAGACGGACAGGGCTGGCACAGACCCTTTCCTCCTCCTCTCCAGCCCACAGTGATCTGGGCTTTCACAAGACAGCCTGCTTCCATTCAGTAGTGTGGGAAAGTTCCTTCTTGGCTTAGCAATACCCCTGAGACCTTGGCCTGCAGGCTGGCGTGTTCAGTGGGCCGCATCTCTCCCTGGGATGCTGGGAGCACCAAGTGTGGCTGAGCTCGGGCTGCTGACTTCCTCTGGGCGCCTCTGGGCTGTGAGGGTCTCTTACAGGAATTGAGGCCCTTTGCTGCTCCAAGAAATGCTGAGGTTGTGGGCAGAGGGGTGTACCCAAGGGGGCTCTTGCTCTGTGTCTGACTTTGGGGATCCCCAGGTGGGCAGGGCAGGAAGGACGCGGCTCCCAGCACTGCAAAGGGGCAGCAGCACTACAGCTCAGCCTAGAATAAGAGAGACCGATGAAGAGAAACTCAGATTATTTGAAACTGGACAAAGTGGTGACATGTGCAAAATGAGTCTTCCTTTTCTGAGGCATTTTGCTTCTCTCCCTACCCTGCAGAGGACCAGGAGGTCTCATGAGCCTTTCCACTCTCTTCCTTATCAGAATCTTCTCACTAGAAAGGATCTGATAGTCTCATTCTGTCAGAAAAGAGAAAGAAAGGCTTGGTGTGTTCTATTCCCTAAGGTATTTGCATTTAACAGAAATCTCTGACCTAAGGAATTTCAGCCTTAATAGTGCAATCTCAGGCTGTCCCTTGCTTGGAGGGAAAGTTATTTGGGATGTAAAGAGTTGTCAGAGCCATTTAAATCAAACCTGAGGATGGATTGGCACCTCCCGGGTAGAGGACAGGAGGGAAGGCACAGTGGGTACGGCAAAGGTGCCTTACCTTGCGGACATTGTAGATCCAGTTAAGATAGGCTGAGACCTTGGTGTACACTCCTGGGGTGCTCGGGCCCCCACAGCCATAGCCCCAGCTAACGATGCCCACCACCTGCCACTGGTCAGATTGGTACATCAGGGGCCCACCACTGTCACCCTGTGAGAGACCAGAACAGAGACTGCTGGGGAGGGCAGGTGAGGTTGGGGGGGGCTTCTCCTTCCCGGCTTCCTGAACTGGCCCGTCTGTTCCCCTGAACTCCCTGCTGCCCTCCGATGTTCCACCCTCACCCTCTTTGCTCATTAGCACCCTGGAATGCTCTTCTCTTCTGGGGCAGAAGGGCTTGTCTGTGGGCAAGTAAGTTGCAAGCGTGCTGTTAGCCTTCTCTCAAAGATTCACAGCTCACATTAGCAAATTAAAGGCTCTGAGAGATGCTGTAAAAAAAAGTCTGGTTATTGGCCAGGCGCAGTGGCTCTCGCCTGTAATCCCAGCATCTTGGGAGACTGAGGCGGGTGAATCACTCGAGGTCAGGAGTTCAAGACCAGCCTGGCCAACATGGTGAAACCCTGTCTTTACTAAAAATACAAAAATGAGCTGGGCATAGTGGCAGGCGCCTGTAATCCCAGCTGCTCAGGAGGCTGAGGTGGAGAATCACTCGGACCAAGGGGCGGAGGCTGCAGTGAGCTGAGATCAAACCGCTGCACTCTAGCCTGGGCAACAGAATGAGACTCAGTCTCAGAAAAAAAAAAGCCTGGTTATCATTGTTTAACCTAGTAGTTCCACAATTTATTTAATTACTTATAGAGTGCCTATTTTGTGCCAGGTAGTGTTCTAAGCAATTGGGATTCAACTGATAAAAAAACCCAAAAGATCCCTGCCCTCAGAAAGCTTAGGATCAAATAGGGTGAGAGACAGTGAACAAGCAAATAACAAAACAAGAAAATGCCAGATAGTGAAAAGTGCACTTATCTGGGAGTCCTTATCAGCTCCTTTAGCCCCTGGGGCTTCCTCCCTCTGAACCCAAAACTAGCCTAAATGCCTGTTTAATGCTACCGCCTTTCTCCCAACCAGTGTGAGATCCCTGAGGGGTCTCCAAAGACTACCATGTTCATGGTACACAAGCGATGACTAAGAGATGCCTCTTAAGTGAAGGAATTTAATGACTGGAAATGGAGGTGAGAGTAGGGTAGGGGTTTTAATGAAAATGGTTCAGGCCAAGCACGATGGCTCATGGGAAAATCCTTGAACCCAGGAGTTTGAGACCAGATTGGTGCAACACAGTGACTCTATCTCTATTAAAAAACATAAAAGAAAAAATAGAAAAAAAGAAAATGGTTCAGATGATCCTCTGGAAGTATGGGGGAGGAAGAAGGTCTACAGGGATTGCTAAACAGTCCTGATGGCCAATGAGGCCAGGGTGAGGGGCACGCACGGGGGCTCTTCCAGCATCCTGCAGGTGGTAGTTCTTTCCTAGTGTAGTTCAGCAGCTTGGGGACAATCACAGAGAAAATAGACCTGGGATTCCTGACCTCAAGGGGCTAATCATTCCGTAGCTAGTGAGAAGAGTGGGTGGGGAGGATGAGTAATGTAATCTTTGTTGTTGTTGTTTTTAGATGGAGTCTTGCTGGGTCACCCAGGCTGGAGTGCAGTGGCGCAATCTTGGCTCACTGTGACCTCTGCCTCCTGGGTTCAAGCAATTCTCCTGCCTCAACCTCTCAAGTAGCTGGGGTTACAGGTGCACCACCATACCCGTCTAATTTTTGTATTCTTTTTAGCAGGGATGGGGTTTTACCATGTTGGCCAGGCTGGTCTTGAATTCCTGACCTCAAATTACCTGCCCTGCCCGCCTCACCCTCTCAAAGTGCTGGGATTACAAATGTGAGCCATCACACCCAGCCGGTAACATCATCTTTGAATGTGAAAGAGATTCTCTGATTGTCTGCATCCATCCATCCACCCACTCATCTATTCGTACATCTTTATCTGACTGTATCCTTTCCTTCCCTCCCTTTCTTCCTCCCATAATCACACATTGAGTGCCCGTGATATGCAAGGCTTCCTGTGGGGCATGCAGCCTCTGGGTTTTCTCATCTCTCTAGAACCTAAACCCTATTCCTAGAACTCCCCATGATTCCTGGAGGCCCCACCTGGCAGGTGTCCACACCCCCTTCCGGGATGCCTGCACACACCATCTTCTCGGTGACTTCCCCCTGGTACGCATCGTCTGCATTGCACCGTATGCTGTCAATGACCTGGACTGACGCCTGCAGCAGTATGTCAGACATCTTCCCTGGGAGGGTAAAAACACTCACATTCCCATGCTTGCCTTCTATCCCCCAGCCCTGGATTGCCAAACCACTTTGCTTTCTGCCTGGCGCCTTGGTGCTTGGTCCTCTGGGATGGGTTTCTCTGAAGGATGGTCCTCCTTCCCATCACTTCTGGAAGCTGCTCCCTCATACATGGGCATCTCCTGCCCTGGGGTCCTGCACCCAGGACTTACCTCCATTTTGCTTTGTAAAGCCCCATCCAATGATCCAGAGTGGGGTGGCTGGAGTGAGCTCCTCATCAAAGAAGGGCAGGCAGATGGGCCTGACCGTGCCTGCCAGGAGCACAAAGGAAGAAGGAGATCTTTTATTCATCATAATTGTTAATTTTCTGTAAATTATGATGCTTTATGATTATGGGGATCTTGCTGGTCTGGGAGAGACTGGGTTAGCTAATTCCTGCAGATAGTAAGCAACTTGGCTCTGGGCATGCCTTTAATAGGCAAACCAGCCAACCCAAAGCCCGTATCCCCAACCATTTCCTTTATCTGACTCTCAGACACCAAGCCAATATTTTCCCTGCCCTAAATCACCCCAGGGACAGATACTAGACAACCAGAGGCTGACCTCTATAGCCTAGAGAATTGTCCACACTATCCAATCCCAAGCATGCTCAATCTTGCCTTCCCTACCTTGGCCAGACCTGCCCATGGAAGCCACGGGTGGTTCTGGGCCATGCCTTCCCCTCACTCCTGTCTCCTGGTGGACCCAGCTGCTCCCCAGGTGTCCCTGTGTTGTGGGGGTTTCTCTCAGAAGCTATAAATAATAAACTCTTCTTTCAAAGTTAGTTGTGTCTGTATCTGTCACCTTACCATACCTGATTAAAACAATTCCCAGGCACAAATCTTGAAACATACCCCAGGGTTCAGGAGAGCCTGGCAGTTAAGCTCTCTGAAAGGGGTCACACCAGGGTCTCTAGAACACTTGTTCCATGGGATGCTAGTAGAAGTGGCATGAAAAAAGGATTCTGTGGTCAAATAAATTTAGAAAATTTATGCAATAAAACAGATTATTTTAAAAATTTCTCATACCTTTAATAAACTAATGTGCTCCAAGAAGGGAGCTGTAGTATTAAAATGCTTCCCAAACTTATTTGACAATGGAATCCTCTCCTCTCCAAGGGGCCAGTGTCTTACGGACCCCACAGTTGGGAATGCTGATCTAAATACATTTCAATATAAGCACAAGGCATCCAACAGAGCTGTTCAAAGACTCTGCAGGCTGCTTCACAGGTAATGGGTTCCCTGCCCCTGGAGGAGAGCAAACAGGAGCACAATGACTCCTTGGCAGGGATACTGAGCAGGCTCTCGGGTATTGGTCAGTGGTGGGGAATGAGCTTGATAATCTTTTTAAAAGGTCTCCTAAAACTCTAAGATCGGATGAAACTCCAGTTCTCCATTGAGGGGCTCCACATAGGGAAGACAGGCCTTGGAAGAATCTCCAGCATGGAATGGAGTGGAGGTGTTAGCTGACAGCTTGAGGAGGCCTCATGGCATCAGTGATGTTAGGCTGACATATTAGTTACAGACAAATGGGCAAGCTGAGGTCTTGAGAGGAGAAATTACATGCCAAGGTCACTCAGTGAGCTAACAGCAGAGTGGATGTGAAAACTGATGGAAGGGGCTTGGGTGGCCTCAGGCCCTGCTTCTCACCTGAGAAAGTGAGTGGGAGCTGCAGCTTCATGAGGGCGATGTCATTGTCTTTGGGGTACATGGGGTTGAATTCAATGATGATGATCTTGGCCACAGCCAGGGATGGGAAACTGCCCAGTTTGTCTGAGCCGGCCCGCACCTTCCAGTTGAACACATCGGTATGTTTCCTGGGGGCAGAGACAGCTGGGTTCAGGCCTGATCCAAGCCTGAGGAGGCTTTGCCAAAGGCTGGGTCCCCAGGGCCCTGGGGATTGGGATACTGGGTATCAGTGCCTTGGGAGGGAAAGATGGTGGTGGCGCAGGGATAGTAGAGAAGGGGCCGTCTTTTGGCACTTACAAGAAGTCGAATTCAAAAAGGGGATTTGACACTTTTTCCTTAGTGAAACCTGCCCAAGGAAATCTCAAGGAGGGCTGGGAAACGGGCTCCTCTAATGCCTGAGTTTTGGGGTCCTGGCGCTCTCTCCTCCAACCCTTTTCATTGTGTTACTCATGCTGTCAGTTACAGTACGTGCTTTCTTTTTCCCAATGCCAGGCACAGCTCAGTGTGCAGAGATGTTTTTCTAAGAAAGAATTTATAGCTCTTGCCAGAATCTCAAAAAAATAAACAACAACAACAACAACAAAATGGTTAAGAAACGCTGGCCTAGATCATGAGTGCCTTGAAGACAGCAGTGGGGTCTAATGCACTTGGGCGCATCATCTGGTGCTTGGTACCTGGTAGGTGCTCATTAGATATTGAATGAATGAATGAATAAAAATGAAGAGGGGCGGGACATGGTGGCTCATACCTGTAATCCCAGCACTTTGGGAGGCCGAGGTGGGTGGATCACTTGAGGCCAGGAGTTCGAGATCAGCCTGGCCAACATGGTGAAACCCTGTTTCTACTAAAAACACAAAAATTAGCCTGGCATGGTGGCACATGCCTACAGTTCCAGCTACTTGGGAGGCTGAGGCAAGAGAATTGTTTGAACCCGGGAGACGGAGGTTGCAGTGAGCCAAGATTGCACCATTGCACTCCAGCCTAGGCGACAGAGCAAGACTCTGTCTCAAAATAAATAAATAAATAAATAAATAAATAAATAAATAAATAAATAAATAAAAAGTGAAGGGGGGGTGGGAGTGGCCCTTCCCCGAGGTAAGGCCAGGCCTCTCTGTGGACTGGAAAGGAACCTATGCTTTCTAATTTTTTTAAAGTTTCCAGACATAATGAGGAAGTGGCTATGACTCTAGACCCTGGAACGACTTCCTGGAAACAAGCAAAAAGAGTGAGTTCTTGGAACTTCAGGCAGGTAGGAAGAGCTTTTGTGGCTTGAACGATATGGGGGTGGGGTGAGGACTCTGGGTATCTGATGGTGTCCCACCAGGAAGAGGCCATGCTTGGTGACCCGTACCCTCTGCTCAGACACCCAAATGCCTAACAAAGGGCATCATGGCCATTGTTTCCTTGGGGCCACCACACCCTGGCAAACGTCTCTAGTGGGAGAGTGAAGAGAAGGAGGGTGTCAGGAGACAGGACTCCAAGCTCTCTGGCCCCTGACTGGCCTTGGTCCCCAGAGACCTCCTTACAGCTGGGGCCTTACCTGAAGCAATGGGCTGCTGTGAGGACCCAGTGGGGGTCCAGGATGCTCCCTCCACAGACGTGCTGTTTGTCGTACTGGATGCTGACCTGCCAAGGCCAAGAATCCACAGAGGCCTCCTCCCCGCCCACCACACGGGGGGTTTTCAGGCTCTCCCCACAGGCTGGACACAGGCAGAGGCAAGAAGTCAGGCTTTTGGGGATGAGGCTGCCTCCCCTCAGTACCCAACATGTGCTCTAAGCAGGGACCTTTTGGCTGGGGCCGGAGTGGGGAGAGGACCAGGCCAATTGGAGTTATTCATGGGAGGTATTGAGTGTCCCAGACCATAGGCTTTCCCCAAACCTCCCTCTCCTTTTTCTTTTTCTTTCTTTCTTTTTTTGGTTTAAGATGTGTTCAGGAGGTTAGACTACGAACACGGGTGTGTCCGTTGTGCTGGGAATTTGTGACCTTCCCAAGTGATGCAGAATTACGAAAGCCCTGCCCAGGTGGCGTGTCCCCAGCCACTCCCACTGAGTAACAGTAAACAGACACCCACAAGCTGTTTTGTGACTCGGAAGTGGACTGTCCCAAACTCCCCCTTCTCCAAGTCTGTTCCCCGTGCCAGGGGAGTCTCTCAATCTAACATCCTGTCTTCCTATTAACTGACCTGGCTTTCACATCCCCCGACCCCTGGAACTCCAGTAAAGCCCTCAGGTCCCACCTCTCCACCCATGCTCTGCCTCTCCAATTCTTCTGGCAGCCACCACCATGGTGGCCATTCTAAAGGGAAAGGCTGCTTCCCTTCCCTGTGTGTCAGGCGCCGTGCTGGCCTGGAGCTTTTCAAACACCATCTGATTTCAAACACTGCTTTCTCCATGCCACCTTGCCCGCTCCCCCAAAGCCCTTCAGGATCTCCCTTGAGGGCAAAGTAGAGTTTCCACTCCTCCTGGCAGCCTCCTGCTGTTTCATATAAAGTCTCTGTCTAGCCAAATTGATCTGCTTGTAGTTCTCTAAAAAGTCATTCTGTTTTTGATCCAAAAAGATGCCCTTCCCATTGAAATGCTGTCTCCTCTCCTAGTTCTCGAAATCAGGGATCCCCAAACCCTAACACCCGGACCTCAAACCAGTACTGGTCCGTGGCCTGTTAGGAACCTGGCTGCACATTAGGAAGTGAGCAGCAGGGGCAAGTGAGCATGACCACCTGAGCTTCACCTCCTGTCAGATCAGAGGTGGCATTAGATTCTGTAGGAGCACAAACCTTATTGTGAACAGCACATGTGAGGGGTCTATGCTGTGCGTTCCTCATGAGAATCTAGGCTAGGTGTGGCGGCTCACGTCTGGAATCCTAGCACTTTGGGAGGCTCAGGCGGGCAGATCCGCTGAGGTCAGGAGTTCGAGACCAGCCTGGCCAACATGGTGAAACGCCGTCTCTACTAAAAATACAAAAATTAGCCAGGCGTGGTGGCACATGCCTATAGTCCCAGCTGGGCTGGTGGCGGGCACCTGTAGTCCCAGCTATTTAGGAGGCTGAGGCAGGAGAATTGCTTGAATCCAGGAGGTGGAGGTCACAGTGAGCCGAGATCGCAACACTGGACTCCAGGCTGAGTGACAAGAGCGAGACTCAGTCTCAAAAAAAAAAAAAAAAAAAAAAAGAGAGAATCTAATGCTTTCTATCCCCCTCTTGGTTTGTGGAAAAATTGTCTTCCATGCAACAAGCCCCTGGTGCCAAAAAGGTTGGGGACCACTGAATTCTAGATCATTCATTAATCTAACCAATTTGTGTCAAGTGCCCTGTCTTGGGGCAGTGCTGGGTGCTGGGAGAGAGTGGCGGGCAAGACAGACAACATGGGCTTATCCTCCTTGAACCTACAGATGCATTTTTCAGTGTTTAGCCTGGGCCCCCAGTCCCTGGGAATTTTCCTTTCTCTGGCATTCCCACAGGCTGTTCTGGGTGTTGGCCACCCTTTCAGTGTTGCTGAGTTTAGGTCTTGTTTTCTTGGTAAAACAGAGGCCCCACAAGGGAGGACCTGTCACTTATGCTCCTTCATGCCTTCAGGGCTACTCAGTGCAGAACCTTAGATGGTCTGGCCATTTGTTCATTCATTCATTGACCAATCACTGCGTGTCAGATCCCACACACTAGGTATTGTGGGGTCGGAGTGGGGGGCACGTGATAATGAATGAAACTCTCAACATCCTGCAGGGAAGCATACACACTCCTAAATTGCAGAGGCAGCATTGTGACCTTCTTCCCTTAGGTGTTCTAATTTCTCGCTATCCTTCCAGGCCAGTCTCAGTTCTCTGTGAAGCTGGTATGATGAGATGAGCCACAGTGCTTGTTTTCTTCTCTGATCTCCTCTGTTAGAGCTAGAAGGGTCCCTAGAGATCCTTGATGGGCAGCTGGACTAAACAACCTCTTGGGAAAATGAACTTCAGGAAGGTCAGGTGAATGACTTGAGGCCACACTGGAAGTGAACGGGACTGGTGCCCAGGTCTTCTGACCCCTGTCCAGCTCTCTCTGTAGCATGTCCACTGTGACTGCTACTCAGTCTGGCATTTTCCACATGCTGTCTTGCATCTCTCTCTTACTTAGTCATAAGCTACTGAGGATAGTGGCCAATTATTTCACTCATCTGGTACTTTCTACTTCTAGCCAACAACTGACAGAGTGAGACATATTCTAACTGTTCAATGAATATTTGCTCAAATAATGAATGTGGGTAATCTGATCTTGGATACCTGAGCTGATTGTGACGAAGAAGGCTATGTAGGTCCTGACCGGGGTGGTAGGCAGTGGAGGCCCCGTCCTGCCCTTTTCAGTCTTCCTAATGCTCTCTCCCAGGTCTCCACTTAGGTTGTGGAGCCATGCACAGATGGTAGAAGGGGGAAACTGAGGCTTGGAAAGACCCAGAAAAAGAAAGTGACCTGCCCAAGGCCACCAACAACTCGAGGGGGCATTGACTTGCAAGCCCAAGGGCTATAGACCAAGGCAGAATGAAACTTGGAGTCCCAGAAATTTAGGAGTGAAGATGAAGGTCTTCCTCCTTGCTCATTGCTGGCCCAGGCCCCAAACCCTCAGAGATTGGGGGTACTCACCAAGACAGTGCAGGGAGACCAGGGAGCCTGAGAGACAGGGCCTGGAAAACAGACACAGCACCCTGTGATTTAAGCTTCTTGCTCAGCTGGGAGGTAGGGACTTAAGCCTCCCAATGCTATTAATTCAAGTCCCCTCCCAGTACCTGGGGAATGTGGAAGCTGCACAGTGGGGAACATGTGGAGAGCGCATTGACATCCATTGCATTTCCTGCATTGACACTTCCATTTGATTGGATTCAACACCCCCACTGCTGAGTACCTATGGTGCACTGGGCCCTGCCTGCTTCGAAGCCCAGCCTGGGCTCCTGGGACCCAAGAGGGAAGAGGGCAGATCCCAGAACAGAGTCTGTGGCACTGCGGGCTTTCCAAATGGAAGAATGGAATTTTGAAGGAATTTTAGGCAAAGGATCATTCTGGACCAATCCTGTCCATTTCAAGATTTACTTTCAGTGAATGAAGGGGACCAGCCCCTTCACCACCTGTGGGCATTTCTCGTCAGGTGGAACGAGAGACTTGAGAAAAGAAAGAGACACAGAGACAAAGTATAGAGAAAGAAAAGTGGGCCCAGGGGACCAGCGCTCAGCATACAGAGGACCTGCACCACCTGCACCACACCACCTGCACCGGGTCTCTTGAGTTCCTCAGTATTTATTGCTCATTATCTTTACCATCTCGGAGAGGGGGATGTGGCAGGACAATAGGGTAATAGTGGGGAGAGGGTCAGCAGGAAAACATGTGAACAAATGTCTCTGTGTCATAAACAAGGTTAAGAAAAGGTGCTGTGCTTTGATGTGCACATACATAAACATCTTGCTGCATTAAAGAGCAGTACTGCCACCAGCAAGTCTCACCTCCAGCCTAAGGCGGTTTTCTCCTATCTCAGTAAATAGAACATACAATTGGGTTTTACACCGAGACATTCCATTGCCCAGGGACAGCAGGAGACAGATGCCTTCCTCTTATCTCAACTGCAAAGAGGCCTTCCTCTTTTACTAATCCTCCTCAGCACAGACCCTTTACTGGTGTCTGGGCTGGGGGATGGTCATGTCTTTCCCTTCCCACAAGGCCATATCTCAGACTATCACAGGGGGAGAAACCTTGGACAATACCTGACTTTCCTAGGCAGAGGTCCCTGCGGCCTTCCGCAGTGTATTGTGTCCCTGGGGTACTTGAGATTAGAGAGTGGTGATGACTTTTAACAAGCATACTGCTTTCAAGCACTTGTTTAACAAAGCACATCCTGCATAGCCCTAAATCCATTAAGCCTTGAGTAAACACAGCACATATCTCTGCAAGCACAGGGTTGGGGGTAGGGTTATAGATTAACAGCATCTCAAGGCAGAAGAATTTTTCTTAGTACAGAACAAAATGGAGTCTCTTATGTCTACCTCTTTCTACATAGACACAGTAACAGTCTGATCTCTCTTTCTTTTCCCCACAGGTGAATAAGCGGCCCTCAGCAACATCCCTGAATGCTAAGAAGCCAGCCTCCTCTCTGAACCGCTTTGCCACAACGTGACAGATTTCAACTGGATGCTCTGCTCTAAAGCAGGGTGATGAGGCTCAGGAATGGGCCACCCACAAGGGCCGTGGAGCCTCTTCCCTGGAGCATCAAGAAGGTGGGGAGCTCTGGCTGGGTAAGTGGTGGGGAAGGACAAAGTGACTTTGGAATCTTGATTATTGGGCAATTTATTAGAAAATTTACGGCAGTAGCAAAAACTATTTACTATCCAGATTGATGGAAAGGTCACATTATCCATCCCTCTGACTTTGAATAGGACAACACACTTTGTCCAGCTGTCCATTGTGTTAAAAACAAGTCAACACAGAAAACCTCTCCAAAATGTGAGTCTATAGCTCTTAGCATTGAATGATCTGTCTGGCTAGGAGTTCTTCCTGATGTCTGACTTACATTCTCCTGGCTGCTTAGGGTTCCAGGTGAGCTGGTTGCAACCTGAAGAGCAGCATCCATGTGGGGGCCTTCTGTAGGCCAGAAGGTGTTTCCTCACTTACCCACTTGAGTTCCTCACATGAAGCTCCTGGCTGTTTTCTGTGATTTCAACAACATCCAGATCCTGGTCTGGGCCAATCTCCACAGCTCTGAAAGTGGGTTTGCTGCTCACATCGAGAGAGAGAGAGAGAGGGGGAGAGAGAGAGAGAGAGAGAGAGTTGTGAGCTGGGGCAGGGGGTTAGAACAAGATGGTAGAGTTGGCTCCCACTCTCAGGAGACAGGGTGGCGGAGAATGCCTGGTGGGGAGTGGCCAGGGAGTGGAGGTGGTCTTAGTCAGTGAAGATGGGGCTTGCTTTGCTATACAATAAAGAATATATCCTTGGCATCCCAGGACTCAACCCTTGGTGCTGTGCTGATGTAACTTGCTTTCTTGGGCAGGGACTCCAAATCCAGAACCCAGAGCCCTGGAGAAATGTTAAGGGTCTCCTTTCCAAACTCCCGGCTCTGCCCTTATTTCAAATATCCCAGCAATGTCTTCCGGTTCACAGCAGGGAAACAAAGAGGCATAGGGGCCCAGGTTAGCTCCCTTCTCACCTGGGAGGGAGTTGGAATGTGGATATTTGGTTCTCCAAACAAGGCATCTGGTTTGACTTTAATAGTGGGGGTATACTTTTGGCCCCCTTAGGGCTATTTAATAGAACAGGACTGGATTGTCTTCGTGAGAATCCAAACAAACGGTTATCTCAACTGGACCACCCTCCCTCTTTCTCTCTGCTAATCCACGCTTGCCTGCTTTCAAACCTTGGGTTGAAGTTTTTCCTCCAACAGGAAGTCTTCCCTGATTAATTCCATCTCTCTGATTGTTCCTTTACTGAATCTGCCTCTTCTAAATCTTTTCCTTCCATCCCCAACCATGCTAGTAATGCTAGCAGAAGCTCTCCATGGAGGGGTGGGTCAATCCATGATACTGGTGGTTTGGCACATTCTCAGGCAGGAATGCTGGCACTTCCTGGAAGGACCCAGAGAGGACTCGGACCTGGGAGGACTAGAGTCCATTTTAAGAGTCCTCATAATCTAGGTTCTGTCCCTGGTTCTGGCACTAGTTTGATGTGTGGTCTTGGGCAGGTCACATTCTTTTTCTGGGTCTCTCTAAGCCTCAGTTTCCCCCTCTATAAAAAGATGCATGGGGCTGGGCACAGTGGCTCATGCCTGTAATCCCAGCACTTTGGGAGGCCAAGGTGGATGGATCACCTGAGATCAGAAGTTCAAGACCAGCCTGGCCAACATGGTGAAGCCCAGTCTCTACAAAAATACAAAAATCAGCCGGGCATGATGGCGAGTGCCTGTAATCCCAGCTATTCAGGAGGCTAAGGTGAGAGAATC